TATTGACTTGTTATGCATACAGTAAACGTTATTCAGTTTCAGTTTTTCATATGTTTTTTAAAACCGTGTTACAAAGCAAATTATTAAGCGACGTGTCGCGGCTTGCCATCGCTGGACATTTATTTTTGAAAATGTTGCAAGTATTTGTTGCCTATGTTACTTGGGGCTATTGCATTCTTATGGTATAGGAACTGTGATATCTGTCCAGATTTGAGTTCATTCGTAACCAACATTTTAAACGCACTTGAGAGTGTACTATCAGTGTGAGTAGCTGGGTGGTATCACAATTAAAAAAAACAATTCGTTATTTTTAAAATTCGTACTCGGCAAATCCTATTTCGTAATATAGATTCCGAAATATGTCTAGACAATATGACCATAGAATCACATGCGACCACAGACTAACAGTAAACTCGGATCGTACTATAAATTTGACGATCGACAGATAACCGATGAGTGACCCGCAGTACACGGCCCATTGTGTGCGCGGGAGTCTACTGAGATTAGGACTGACCTCTGATGCTGCCGATACGCAAACATTGCTACTTTTTAAAGAAAGTAAAGCTTTTTAAATACTTAAAAACCTTTTAACTGTTCTAATTTAAATTAGTTATAAAAAGTCCAAAAAAGTAGACAAATTCTAATATTTAAAATATAGGGGTTTTTATAAATTTAGATTTATATGAATTTTAAACACGTACGGAATATATTTAAGCTGTAGCAAAGTTAGTGTATTTAGATAAACACTTTGTTCTTATACTTACTAGTATGAACGGATTTTTGTACACTTTTCACCAGATAGCGAAGATTTTTTTTTTAAATTGCTAATAATACTCTACTCCCCTGCCATTGTGTCCATGGCGAAGAATTGCAGGAAGGTTTAAATATATATCTAGTTCATTGGTTTTACACGATCGAAGAGGTCGCAAAAGTTCTTGCAAAAATAATTCTTTAACCGAAACCTCTTCAATAAATTTGATACCACGCCTGTCCGGTTAATACTAAGCTTATTGAACTCTTAATATTGTATTTAGTTAAAGGAAAGGGCGAACCACTATAAATCTAAGAACGCCTACACTACAAGCTAACAATACACAAACACACACAACGACACAATATAAATCATAAACGAGACAGTCTCTCACTTTGGCTATGATTTTTAACACCCACTTAATCATAAAAACAATGTAGAACATTTGTTTAGAACATGCTCTAAATTGTAGGGAAATAAAATAGAATTAGTTTTACGTTAAATAATTTATTATACTAGAAATTTTGACGACTCATTGGTCTAGTGGTTAGTACCCCTGACTGCGAATCCATGGGTCCCGGGTTCGATCCTCGGCTGAGACGAACATCGATGTGATGAGCATTTGGTGTTGTGCTTAGGTCTTGGGTGTTTAAATATGTATTTATACGTCTATCTATCTATAATATGTATGTATATCCGTTGCCTAGTACCCATAACACAAGCTTCACCAGCTTAGCATGGGGCTAGGTCAATTGGTGTGAATTGTCTTAAAAAAAAAAAAATATTGTATGAGGAGCTAAACGCTATATATGGGTTTTTTTGTGACGCCGGTCACGGGAAATAACTGTTTATCAAATAAATTGAACATTTTTAAAATTTAAATTCTAGATAATTTTGTATCATGTAAGTGTATGTAAATAAACTGAAAATCGCGTAATGTGTCATAAATACTTTAAATAAATATTATTACGAAGTCGACTAGAGTTCGAATTTGAAGCATCAAGTTCTAAATTCAAATTAGTGAATGCATTTTCATATCAAGAATATTGAAATAAACTTCTTGGATAGCAAAAAATCCGCTTAATTTCTTTGAAATCTTTAATTCAAACTAGGATTGCCGTCGCAAAAAATATTAAAACTGGTTGTAATTCTATAGCCGCTCTATTAAGCGACTTGACGTGTAGCTAAAACGGATGGTTAAAAAAATAAATTCAGCCGAATCAAAGGCTGTTGGACAATGGTCACGGGTTTTGAATAATGGTTCATATTGCTCAGGTAGATACCGCGGCCGTGTCAATCAGGTGTTTGATATATTTTTTATTCAGATGCTATTTTTTTATATTTCATAAGTACCTACTACGAGTAGGTACCTACGTATGTTTTGGTTGTGATAGTGAAAATATCTTTAACACATTAGTCATAATAACATATGTTTACTATGGGCTAAGTCATACATATAAATATATTGTTTAAGGCTTTTAAAATAAATATATTATTAGAAGTACTGGCAGCGAGGAAATGCTGCCAGCGTTAAAGGTCCAACCATAGAGACCAAACTTGTTACATTTGTTTTAATTTTCTATTTATTAATTGTAAATACTATATATTTGTGTTTTGGAAATTAATATAAGTAAATATGATATTATAAAATATATTAGTTAATTTTTATCATGAATAAAGGATATTATTTATAAAAGAAAACAAAAACAGGTGGATATAACCTTACCCTTTTACCAAACTGTTGAAAGGTATCAACAATAGTTATTTTGCCTACGGCCGACTTTATTCTTTGACAATGTGGGCGCGACATTGCAAAAAATCCCTTTGACCATTTGTTTGTCAATTTTGTTTGACCATGGGAAAATATTTAAGCCTCAGGTGCTGAATGCAACCTGTTTTGTGTATAAAGAATTTGTATACGATTACTGCCTTATCAGTGCCTGAGCCTCCAGGCTTTTTATAGATATATATATACTATGCGGTCTGGACGTAATTGTTTCGTCCTTTTTAGAGTTTAGGAACGATTATTCGGGAATCGAACCCTGGACCTATACGATACGCATCTGTGTAAATTAATATATTTTATTATAATAAAAAAAGGATTTTACAGTAATATAAAGTAAAAATGCAGTTTTTTTTAAAGTAAAAATGAAGTTTTAATTGAAGGAATCTAGGTAAATAAATTTTGATGGAGTCGCGGTCAGCTTAAAGCTCTCCCACGCTGTCAGTATTGTTCCAGGTGAAATTCAACCCTTCCCATTTCAATCTATCATACGACAATGCTGCCCACAAAGGATTCCTTGACCGAATTTGAACATGTGTGTTTTTTTGCATACCTTCCGTTTCGTTGGAGATGTGAAAAAGTCACAATCATGATTTGCAAAGTAATTTTGTGATTTGTGTTACATTTGATAAGTAAAATTATTTTTATATATTGAAGCTAAAAAAAGGAGGTAGATGCAAATGTTCTATTTTCCTACGTATTTTATAAAAATGTATGAGGTCTAATTATTAGGTACTAATTCATAAAAAAGCTCAAGTCCTAAGCTTTTTTTAAGCATTTGTCTCTATCCGTCTTAGTGTAAACACCATTTGACAGAAAGAGACAAAGTAGCTTAAAACAGTGATAATGTTTTTTTACGAAAAATAATGTTCTAACGTAAAGAGGTATTATAATTATAACTGTATGAGACTTAAAAGAACCTCCTTAAAAGCCTATTATATATCTTCTCATATAAAATGTCTATATCGTTTAGATTGAAGGTTCTATTCATGTTGTATTCCTTTTTAAATCAGAGGTCTATCAGAAAAACCGCGAACCCATTGTCCGTCAAATAGTTATCAGGTTGCGAGTGGTTGCCGGAACTATACCCACCTGTTATGAATTCACACGCTCAGGTAAAGTTCTATAACTGTATATTTTTTGTCTAAGTCTTTTAATTCGCGGAAAATTATTTTCATTAAATTATTTTCAGAGAAAATTGATAAGTGTTTTCAATGAAAGTTTGGAAATGTGGTGGTCTAATGTAATTTTGTTGGCTATTTATTTTTAACGTCCCTTAAGAAAGTATTAGAAAGGGATCTGTTTTAATAATCTTTTACAATAAGCACCAATATAGCTATAGGTATTTAAAATATTTATTCCATTTTCAAATCATTTAATCGCACAAAATAATCCCTAACATTAGAATAAAGTTTAAAAATTAAATGTGACATTTAAATAAAAAAACAAACTTGAAATGTTCCATTTTTAAAAATGAACTAAGAACATTCAATATAGGTACCTACTCGCGTTATTTAATTCAAATGTTCCATTTTTAAATATGAAATTCGCTACCATACCATTTTGGGGAAAAAGTAGAATTCGTTACGTAATACATCACGCACAATTTGTCGGACGAAAAATCGAATTACTGCATTGTTTATCACATCCCCTAATATTTGGGCCAGATGTACACTCAACGTCAATCTTATTTACCTAAGAATAACAAACACGGGGTCATTCTGCAATTCGATTGTCATAATTTTGTTATATTTCCAATTTCGGAGCGAAATCATACAATTATTTCCATGATTTTTGTGCGAAATAATTAATATTGGATGTCGATCGTTTTGATTTTACGTGAACTAATTATAAAAAAAGTTATTATTTATTTGGGACCAGATCATTGTGTTTACAGTGTGATAAAAGTTTAATTTTTGACTTGATCACTTTGATCAAAAAGATTTTGCAAACTAATATTTAAATGATAACTAAGGGAACCTATGGTTCGACTCTCACAGTATCCAGATTACACATACTTTGTTAGCCGTCACAAACCACGTCGAACCAATAATTCATGCTTAATATAACGCGATACAATTATAAGTCATCCATCCATTTAGATCCGAAATCATATTCATTCACTAATACCATTTTCGAAGTGACATGCAGTTTTTGCTATTCAAATGGGGACAGTTGTGTTTTTTCAATATAAGCTTTCTCTGGGTGCGTCGATTACGCATATTTTCGCTCACATTAGGGGTGCAGTGTGTGAAAAAAATGCGCTATTATAAATATACGCCGAACAAAGGGATGGGAGATCGGGTCACTAGCAAACGGTTTTGATACGGGTTTTTTTTTACCTGCAATTCGGGGGTTCTTTTTTTAAATGTGGGTCTCAAACTTTAACAAGTTAGCCAGTCTGTGAGCGTCTGCGAAGATGTTCACATGTTTTATAGTGCCCAGTGGTCTGATCGTGCTATAACTATGGATTTATCGTCACGGAGTAAGTCAAGATTTTTCGACTCTGGCATCGATTTAAGGAGAAAAGGTACTGTCGCTATAAAGATGTTTCTTGTTAGTTTGTCGATACATGTGTAGGTTTAATATAGAGGGTCATAAAGGAGGTAATAACCAATGCTGAAGACAAATTGGAAAGTAATAAGGCAGTGAAAATGGTCCCGAATATATCTCTGTATGAATCTGTGAATGCCATTCACATTAACATATAAATGACTAAGTTAGTGGACTTGTTACGTATCAGATATTTAGCTATAAAATTGTTTTGGTTTATTAGGAGATAAATCTTAATTTCTTGTATGAATAGGTTGTTTTGATCTTATTTTTCTCATCGAGATATTAGATAATTAGACATGTAGGCAAACATTAAAATGTTTCGGTGTATACTCATAATTATAATTAGGTACTTCTTTACTTACGCAATTTTTAAACGCTTTATTACTTCATTTTTTATATTTGTTTAAAAATAAACTAATTGATATCTCAGATTAGTGCCTATCGCAATCTTTTTCTAGCTATACTATATTTTTTTGTATAACATATATTCTTATTCCGAATATATAACAACAATTGAACATAGATTTAGCGTGATACTGTATACCTAAGTCTTAGGATAGCATAAAGATACTAAGCGCTAAGTGTGGCTCTCATATGTCAAAAACGTATACTTTATACAGGAGTAATGGTTACGTTGACTTTAGACCCTGTTACGCTAAGCTTTTTTGCAAGCCAAGCCTCAATGGCTATAAAATTGTCATAGCTTTAACCAGACAAAATATCGGTTGTGCCGAGAACGCAAAATCTTAATGCCATGCACTTATGCCAAGAAACCTCAGCACTATATCATAAAGGAATATTTAAAAGTATTTTAGATCTGCATTCCTTGGTCGCATTGACCGCAAATCTACGAAGAAGGCTGTTTGTCAAAATAATGACCTTCTGGTAATGGGAGGGTTGGGTGGATTATTATACAGAATATAAATAAAATTCTGAGGTTTATTCAATGCTTTGTTAGATGGACAGTTCTAGAAGCTTTGCTAGAACTTGTTAAGGCTTTAGGTTTGAGATTATTTTTTTATGTTTACCTACTTTAAATATAATTTTTCTAATTGGTTCGTACTCGTCCTAAGTTCGATTTTGTGACTGTATAATCTATAATTATTTCTACATACATGTGTGATTTTCGCCTCATTTACGGCTTATAAAGTATCAAACAAACGGGTTTGCTTTTTTTTCAAAACACCACTTTTTTTAAAAAAAAACGTAGGTATTTAAAAAAAATCAATTACTATTTCTACATACAAACATGTATCCTTTTTGCCTCATTTATTGGTTATAACGTATCAAACAAAAAGGTTTGCAGTTTTTTTATCTAAACTCAATTTCTTTATTAAAAAACGAGGTATTTAAAAAAAACAATATTTTATTCTACATACAAACAAATATGCTTCATTAAGGCTTATATAACAAAACAGCTTTACAGGTTTAATTAAAGACCAATTTTATTATTTAACTTTGGTCACTACTAACGAGGCCAACAGTAACTGTACAAAAGTAACCGTAGGTTATAAAAACGTGTTCAAATATTCCAATAAATATTAACTTCAAAGTAATGCATGAGTCCCTAATTACGTCACTTTAATAGCAATTTCAGTCATTCAAACCTCATTATAATCTCCAGAATGATCCGTTAAAACTTAAAAACGGGAGCGAGCCAAGAAAATCTGCAACTTTTATATTATTTATACCGGTTCAGTATAAGGGTTGGCACCCGGCCGACCGGACGTCTCTTTATGACCCTAGTTTTATTGCTCAGGGAAAACTATATCTTACTGAAAAATGTTAAAACTGGTAGGTATGATTTACCGTTGAGACAATTATACAGTCAACAGAACCTTCATGTTGTGTTTGCTCATATTTTATGAACGGTATATTTTCTTACTATACAATTTCGCCGATTTTTTATATCTACACTCAAATACAAATTGTCCTAGAATTTTTTTATAATAATTCAGAAATCCTGAACAAACTCGACTTTGTGGTACGTCTGGTCTACTGCAAGAAACAACGAATTTTGAATTTCGAACATCCACTTGCGAATTAGAATGTGATTATCGAAATAATTTACGGCTCACAGATTCAATTAATATTATACCATCGTTAAACAGATAATAGAAACAATTGGTAGCAATAATTAGAGGAGGACAGTTAACGGCAGACTAGAATTAAGATTTTTGCCATAAACTGGCGGGAACTGCTGGGGATTAGGGGTTAAGTGTCCGCTTTAACGGGTATAGAGATGGGATATGATATCGATATTCTCAATAGTTATAAATCTACATTGGAGTCAGTACTGTTAACTAACATCGATTTGTCTCTTTTCATCAGAGTATACTAAACGCTTGACAGAAAAAAACGAAGTACTTTAGCCAGAAATTAAATAAGAGATTTCGTTTTATTTGCAAAGAGGTTATGATTTATTATTGTTTCATTTTTCACGGTATTATTTGAATTTATATTGAACCCTTTAATTACATATAAAAATATTTGATATAATTCATCAACAAATAAGTGAATATAAATGTTTAACATAGGTTTCGTTATAACAAACAATAGTTTAGGTATCGATAAATTAATAAGCGCATCACTAGGGTATGTAGTGTAGTGGCGTACAGTCCGGCGTGTCGTTTTTATTGACACTCGTACTGTGACAAATATCCTACGAAAGCCTACAATTCTTTCCTCAAGATCCATATACCTATCACTAAAAGTAATAACAATCGAGTATTCCATGAATTTTTTTTTACCAAATGAATTCCTAAAAATATGTCTTTGTTTATATATTATAATGCTACGTTGTCCCTGAGTAACATAAAATAAATCAGTGGCACTAACCTTTTTAGGTCTCAAATTTCTGTGTCTGTTTCATGATCATTTGTCAATCTAATAAACAAGTAGGTTAGTAGCCTCCTGTGCTTAACACACGCTGACGATTGGGTCTAAGGCAAAGCCGGTTTCCTCACGATGTTTTCCTTCACCGCTAGAGCGAATGTTAAATGCGCACATAGAAAGTCCATTGGTACACAGTCGGGGATCGAACCTACGACCTCAGGGATGAGAGTCGCTCTCTAAAGCCTAGTGTTACTTAGGCAAGTGTAGGCTACTAGTCATACCCTATATTTATTTCCAAAATATTTTAAAACTGAAAAAAGATAGGCCGCTAGTATGTTATAAAAATCATTAATACTTATAAAGCATGACCCAAATTCGATTTGGATCAAATGTTAATAAAAAACTCTAAAATATTTAACAACAAAAATTTCATAAGCTGACCAAAATCAATTTCAATAAAGATCGTCTTACCGAAAATTACCAAAACGTAAAATAAATTTACAAATTTCAAGGGTTGTCTATGCCCCCGGGTCTATATCAGCTTACACCTAAAGCGAAAAAAGAGAAAAAAATAATCTCACTAACGAAGGACCAATACACAGGAGGGACCTGTTTTCTTTACCCAATATCGGGTATTAGGTATCAGTAACACAATTACTGACCCAGCCTAATTTGATCAGTTGTGGTCGCGAAATTTTTTCCGACTACCTGCGACAAAAAATGCCGTAATTCGTTTACGATGATGGGATTATAGCGTTCGGTCTACTTAAAATATTCGATATTGGTTTGCTACTAAGCAACGGGCAGTTCGTAGAACATAGAAAAACAATTGAAAATGAATGAGTACGAAATTTTTATTTAATATGAAACGAAAGGGTTCATTTTTATCTCATTTAGTCGTAGAAAGTTAATACTAGAACTGTCTCTTCAGTCGATAGCTCATGTCTGAGCGATGTGGTCAGCAGGTGACATCTGGAGCGGCAATCAGTTTCCACCGGTTTCTGTCCAGCACTTCCTTATTACAGTGTACAGTTTAGAGGAAGATGAGTCTTTCACTTGTTCGGTCCATCTATCTGATTGAGTATCGGCTACATGATCTTTTGCCTTCTGTGTTACCATCGCCTCTGCGCATTGAATACTAGAACTACAGAACTGATTTTTTTCACCATTACCTGTCAAAAGGAATACAATTTGTTAATGGTCCTCTTGTTTTGTAAAGAACAAATCCTTGGACACATAACGACCAATTGTTATTATAAGCACTTCATTTGTTTTCAAGTTCTCAATTCAAAATGGCGTCTCTCTAATACATAGTAAAAGCTTTAAAGTTTCACATAGGTTGTAATTATGGGGTAAAAGTGACGTCATTAACTGTTGACGTAACCCGCCTCTGAATAGCCAAATGTACTGGGCGTGGTGTTTGCACTAGTCCCACCATAATTTTAACTTTCTATATAAGTTTAAAAGCACTTATATACATTCGCAAAAACCCTTAACGGTTTCATAAAGAATAATGTTACCAACCAATTATAAAATCGTGTTATCCTACTATACATATAGTTTATACCTAAATATATGTGTGTTTGCTTCTCGCACTAATTTATAAAGGCATGGTGCCTTTATAGAGTGGAAGAGTATTTTGACAACAATTATAAATAACATAACTGTTCTTATTACTATGACATCATGATAATTAATATGATGTACCGCATCCCAAATAAAATATGTATTATTATTAATTTTGCCATCAACACGTAGCAAGCCAGAGACTTCCCTTAAAGTTTGAAGTTATTTCGGACACAGATTAAAAATTATGTTAATGTATATTACATTAAATAAAAAAATAAAAAAAATTTATATTACATTAACATAATTACCATGCTTAATATAATTAGATAACACAATTATAATTTATTGACAAATCATAAAATTACGAAATAATTTTTGTCTAAAAATCATTCGTAATTTGAACAATTGTTTGAATTGATCAATTTACAACGAATCCAATCTATTCAACATCAATGAATGAATAAAAAGGCAACATTTAAAGCAAAAACAAGGTATTATCAAGCCATTAAAGAGCATAAAGCCTGAATTTGCCGACATAAGGCTGTATTTGGCCCTTTGAACTCAATGTCC